CTTCTGATAGCTCCAGGTATGAGGATGTTTGCTGTGGGTTTCGGAGAGATATCCTTTATCAAGTTAAGGTGGGTCCATTCTGTGCCTGGTTGGTTATGAGATTTTTTTTTTTTATCATGAATGGGTGTTGACTTTTATCAGATGCTTTCTTGGCCTCTATTGAGATGATCATATGATTTTTCTCCTTTGGGTGTTAATACAGTGAATTTCATCACATTCCTGGGATAGATTTTACTTGTTTGTGTTCTATGTTCTTTAGTATATTACTGAATATAACTTGCTAATGTTTTACTTAGGCTCTGTATACTTAGGTTAATTTATGTGTATTCTGTACATTTATGAGAGCTACCCTTTTCTGAGCTGACCCTAACTGAGTTTGATATTAGTATGATGCTACTTATATTTATCTTTTTTTTTTTTTTTTGAGAGAGATTTTCACTATAGGGCGCGTGCGCTCGCCAGACAGACAGAGAGAGACATTAGAGACAGAAAGCGAGAAATCACCCCCCAGGGGGGATGGTCACGCCGCAATCCCTTCTCCTCCATTCTCCTCTCGGGATCTTGGGCACGCATGCACACGCGCCCGGCGTGAGTTTTAAGCCACCGGGTCTGGGACACGAACCGCGGTCGACTACGTGGGAGTCCAGCGACATAGCCATTATGCTAACTGCTGGTTCCCCTACCTTTATTTATAAATAGCATTCTACGGGGCCAGCAGGTGGTGTGGTGGTTAAGGGTGCTGGACTCCCACACGGCTGACCACGGTTTGAGTCCTGGACCTGGCAGCTTTCTTTCTCACTTTCCCTCTCTCTTTCTCCATCCCTCTTGTGAAATTAAAAATAAATAAATAAAATTAAATAAAACTAATTCTTTAATAAAATAGCATCTTATGGGACCAGCAGTTGGCGTAATGGCTATGTTGATGGACTCCCATGTAGTTGACTGTGATTCGAGTCTTGGACCCAGGGGCTTCAATTCATGTTGGGCACGTGTGCGTGCTTACCCAAGATCCCAAGAGGAGAATGGAGGAGAAGGGATTGCAGCGTGGCCATTCCTGACCTGGGGGGTGATTTCTCGCTTTCTGTCTCTCTGTCTTTCTCTGTCTGTCCGGCGAGTGCACGTGCCCTGTAGCAAAAACCTCTCCAAAAAAAAAAAAAATAGCATCTTACTTTTTTATGTTCTAGGAAAGTAGAGATGAGATCTGTTTCTTCAGTGTCTGGCTAAAACCACTCATAGAATACTCTGGACCTGTTCCTTCACTTTGTAGAAGGTGGGACAGGGAAGATCTTAGTGGATAACGTGAGGTTAACCTTGGCAGTTGACCATGAGTGAGCTTTAACCCAATTTCTATATAGTTCAGTATTTTTCAAATTTCAACAATGAGCATTTATAACAGTTCTACACATCCTTAGGTACGTTAAGGACATTGTCTCTATTGGTTATGTTGTTTACATGTGGAGGATAATTGGATGGGGTTTCTGCATATTCATGCAGCCTCCAAATTCTAGGAGGATGACATCTTCATTTTTCAGGAGCCCCACCCAACCTCTGTAGTTTGTTTTTCAAGCTAGGAGTCAACTATCTAAACACCAAGCAGAGACAGAGGATGCCAGGCCTGGGGGCCTCTTTCTGGCTTGCTACCTAACCTGGGGTCTGACTTGATGCCTCAGTTTATCTCTTTGCAAAATGAAAGCTGTTAAAATGAGATCTGGTCAGCAAGTACCCTGGAGTCGCATTTCTGACTTGGGCTAGGGAGGGATCATGAGACACGTTCTGATTTGGCCAAGTGAGGGCTCTCTGCGTGGTGAGGGCTTGGAGTCAATCCCCAAAGTTGTGGGCCTGCTCGGGGACAGGCCCATGCTAGCCACAGAGAAGAGGGGCAGGTTACCCAGTCGGAGCCAATGCGCAGATGGATGCCCACGTAAGGCCGGACAAGGTGGGCGCGGATCTGGGCGTCTCCCGTCCTCACCATCTCGTCTGACCATACCATGTACTTCTGGAGTGGTCTGTGTTCCTCCAGGACAGGGAACTGGGCTGGGGCCCCCGGTAGGGCAAGCACTGGATGCTCCTTTGGAGAAAATCTAGGCATGAGATGGAATGAGAAGTCAGAGGAGGCACAGAGTGCCTGGCTGCCACCCTCAAGGGAAAAAGGATGGCATTGCCCTATGCCCTGGAGACCTGGGGAGGGGCCCAGTCATATGCAAGATGCACAAGAGGTTGTGAAATCCCAACGGGCCGATAAGGAACCTTGGCGGCAGCAACAGGCACAATAAGCAACACTGTCCCGCCGCACAGAATTTACAACTCTCTCTGCTTGTTTAACAATTAAAAATTTACAGTAGAGCATTCCAACCTTTTATATGTCAGGCTGGCTTCCAATGTGTGGTGTGGTAATAACTCCAGGGTGGGGTGTCTGAGCCAAGCCTCTGCCCTTTTACCTACATGGCGGGACTGAGACATGTGGCTGCTGGCAGAGGCAACGGCTGGCTGGCACTCTCAGGGGCTGCGTACAGAGTTAGAACGTTCCTTCGACATTTAACAAATATTTACTGACCACCTACTGTGTGCTAGAGCCCAGGAGAGAATGACACAGACCTGGTGGTCCCCACCCTCACGGTATGGACCAGAGGTCTGCGGATCCCCATTGCACGCTGCAAGATTCTTTCCCCTTCTACGCTGGGCAACTCCTAATTACTTCACTGGACTTTTCTGCGGGACTCAGGCTTCGAAAGGCCTTCAGCATGCCTAACACAGTGCCTGGCACACATCAAAGCTCAGTGACTATTTGCTGACTGAATGAATGAGTGAACCTGTATTCCCTCTTCAGCTAAACCTAGACTACCTCCCAGCAGCACAGAACACCTTGCTGTCCCGTAAATGCACTTTCACACTCCAGATTCTGCATACTTCTTCCCTCCACCTGGGATACCTGCTCTTTACCAGTCAAAATCCTTTCTTAAAGTTACACAATAGGTGCTGTCGCTCTGGGAAAGTTTGGTGGTTTTTTTCTTTCTTTTTTTTTTTTTTAATTTACCACTCGTGCAATTACCACGTGACCCAGGAACTGTATTCTTAGGCATTTCTCCCAGAGAGAGGAAGAGCTATGCCAACAGGTAAACTACACAGATGGTTAGAACAGCTTTTTTTTTTTTTTTCTTTTTTTTTTTGAAACAGATTTTTGCTGTAGGGAGCGTGTGATCACCAGAGAGACAGAGTCAGAGAGACAGAAAGCAAGAAATCACACTCAGGGGGGATGGCCATGCCACAACCCCTTCTCCTCCATTCTCCTTTCAGGATCCTGGGCATACATGCACATGGGCCTGACATGAGTTTTAAGTTGCTGAGTCCGGGACTTGAACTGTGGGTGATCATGTGGGAGCCCAGCAATGTAACCATTACCCCATCTGCTGGTTTCTAGAGAAGCTTTATTCACAGTGGCCCCAAATGGGAAACAACCAGATAACACTTTATGAGTACAGGGTTAAACTACCTGTGGTACAATCACACCAGGGACGTGGGCAAGAAAAGGACAGAAAATCAACACAGGCACAAACTGGATAGATCACAAGAGAATTTATCCAGGGTGAAAAAAAGTCTGTTCCTAAAAGTTGCACGTTTGATTTCATTTATATAATAATATTTTAAAATGACCAAACAGGAGGGAAACAGAAATGAGACAATATTAGTCAATGCCAGGAGGGATGGTAGTATGTGTGTGTTTAGGGAGGTGGGTGTGGTTATAAACTGGCAACATAAGTGTGGTGATGGAAGCAACCACTATCTATCTATCCATCTATCTATCTATCTATCTATCTTTCTATCTATTTTTCTTTGTTCCTTTTTTAAACTTTTTGCCATAGGGTGAGATTGTTCACTGAAGAGAGACAGAGAGATAAAGAGAGGGAAAGTGAGAAATCACTCCCAGAGGGATGGCCATACCACAATTCCTTCTCCTCCATTCTCCTCTTAGAATTTAGGGCATACATGCACATGTGCCTAGCATGATTTTCAACTACAGGGTCTGGGACTCAAACCATGGTCAGCCATGTGGGAATCCAGTGCCTTACCCACCGCACCACCTGCTGGCCCCAGAACCATTTGGCATCTTAACTGTGGGGGTGGATTAATTACATATAGGATAAAATTGCATAGAGCTACACACACACACACAGAGGCAGAGAAGTGACACAATTAAAACTGAGGCGATCTAAAGCAGGTGGATTGTATCAAAGTCAATATCCTGGCTGTGATGTTGTACTACAGTTTGGCAAAATGTTATAATGGGGGAAAGCAGGGTAAAGGATACATAGAAACTCTGTATTACTATTATTATTTTTGTTTTTGAGAGGTTTTTGCTATAGGGCGCGTGCACTCGCCAGACAGACAGAGAGACATAGAAACAGAAAACGAGAAATCACCCCCCCAGGGGGGATGGTCATGCCGCAATCCCTTCTCCTCTCGGGATCTTCGGCACGCACGCACACGTGCCCGGCGTGAGTTTAAGCCACCGGGGTCCGAGACTCCGACTACGTGGGAGTCCAGCGACATAGCCATTACGCTAACTGCTGGTCCCCTGTATTACTATTATTTTTAATAATTATTTATTTAATTCAATTTGTTATTATTTTTTAATTTGACCAGAGAGAGAGAAAGGGAAAGTGAGAAAGCAAGTAGACAGGTCCAGGACTTGAACCATGGTCAGCCCTGTGGGGGTCCAGCGCCTTTATCCACTACACCTAGCAATGACCCCATTATTTTTTACAACTGTATTGGAATCCACAATTTCAAATAAAAATGATGAACTATTTCAAACCATACAGGCGAATACAGAAAATAATTGGGCAGGTCCAGCCTGGTGGCTCAGTTGGCAGCAAACTGAACTGTAGTGCCAACCAGAAGTTTAGATCCCTGGGCTGGCTCGAAAACCTGCAGGGTGGGTGTGTGCTTGCCCAAGGCTTTGACAAGCTGGAGGGGTGGGGAAAGGGTATTGTAGTGGGATGGAACTCTGTCCAAGATGCTACTCTCTTCTTCCCTTCCTCCAACTCTCTCTCTCTCTCTAAGCACTCTATCATAAAAAAAGATAGGTTAAGGGGCCAGCAGGTGGTGTGGTGGTTAAGGTGCTGGATCCTACATAGTGACTCTGCAGTTTGAGTCCCGGACCTGGCAGATTAAAACTCATGCTGGGTATGCGTGTGTGTTTGCCCAAAATCCCAAGAGGAGAAAGGAGGAGAAGGGATTGCAGCGTGGCCATCCCCCTGGGGGGTGATTTCTCCCTTTCTGTCTCTCTGTTTCTCTCTGTCTTCCTAGCAAGTGCACATGCCCTATAGCAAAAACCTCACCAAAAACAAACAAACAAATAAACAAAGCATACCTAAATAAAAGCTTTATCCCATCATTTCTTTCCCTTCATTTCTTCCCCTTTCCAGAAGATTATGTATTTTTATGCACAATTACTCTATCGCTATGAACATCTTTGCCAAAACAGGGGGAGGTGGTATTCTGAGGGCTATTTATGGAGTGTAATGATGAAGAAGACGGAGTGCTGAGCCAGAATACCTTTGTCTAATGGTCAAATGCTGACCACACCTCTTAATAACCTGGGCAGGTGACTCAACCACTCTGTGCCTCAGTTTCCTTATCTGTATAACAGAGCTGATACCAGTTCCTACTTTTTTTTTTCCTTTTTAAAAAACTGCATACATTTAAGATGTGCAACACGATATTTTGCTATATATAGACAGATACACACAGTTAAATGAACTATATATACAGTCAAACCAAATAATATGTCCATTCAAAGTGCTATTGAGAGGATGAAATGGATAAATACAAAAAATTTAGAACAGTGCCAGGGAACCAGCAGTTAGCGTAATGGCTATGTCGCTGGACTCCCATGTAGTTGACCGCGGTTCGCGTCTTGGACCCGGTGGCTTAAAACTCATGCCGAGCGTGTGTGCGTGCGTGCCCAAGATCCCGAGAGGAGAATGGAGGAGAAGGGATTGCGGCGTGACCATCCCCTCTGGGGGGTAATTTCTCGCTTTCTCTCTCTCTGTCTGTCTGTCTGGCGAGTGCATGTGCCCTATAGCGAAAAAACCTCTCCAAAAAAAAAAAAATTAGAACAGTGCTTGACACACAGAAAGCTCTCAAAAATTTCTGGCTATCACATCATCATCCTCATCATCCCACTGCATGTAACCTAGTTTAACTATTTTCTTTTGGAGAAATTTTTGCTATAGGGTATGGGTGCTCTCTGGAGAGACAGAAAGAGATGGAGTGAGAAATTACACTCCAGGGGAGATGGCCATGCTGCAATCCCTTCTCTGCCATTCTCCTCTTCAGATTTAGTATGCACGCATATTAACCTGACATAAGTTTCAAGCTGCCGTATCCAGGATTCAAATTGCAGTCACCCATGCGGTAGTCCAGCACCTTACTCACTATACTACCTGCTGGCCTCCCTAGTTTAACTTTTTAAAAATTCAACTTTGTATGTTAGAGATTTGGCCATATTGATCATGTGGATCAAGTGGTCGCATTAGCTTCTCTTGAAGTTTTCCATTTTGCATGAATAAACTACAATGTACCTATTCCCCTTCTGCTGGACAGTGAGGTTGTTCCACTCTGTCACTCACAGCAGGGTTCCAGAGGACATGCTACTTATTCACACCTAATCCAAACATCTTGTTCAGCAACCACCACCAAACTCCAAGATCAGTCACCACTCCCAAGCCTCAGCTCTACAGGGAAGGCTCCCTGTCCCACTTCTCCCTTGCCACACAATGTGCTCAGCAGCCACCCTCCCTGCTTGTGGGACTGTCGGCTGGTGAGGTAGGGTTAGCCATTATCCCCACACAAACTGGCCCAAGGCCCGTGCCAGGGAAGCTACAAACAAGTGTGCCTCGACAGCCTGGCTCCAGATGACACTTACCTTGTGAGACTCTCATTTTCTGCTTGTATGTACATACATGTGAGTTTACTGAGCCTTATGATGTGACAGGCAATGTTCTTTTTTTAAAATAATTTTTCATTTATTCATTTATTTGCTATAGGGTGCATGCACCTGTCAGGGAGGGAGAGATAGAAAGTGAGAACTCACACCCCAGGGGGGGATGATCACAATGCAAGCCCTTCTCCTCCATTCTCCTCTCAGGATCTTTGGACATGCATGTACACACACTCCTGTTGTGATTCTAGAGTCACTGGATCCAGGACTCAAATTGCACAGTCCGCTATGTAGGATCCAGCACCTTAACCTCCACGCCACCTGCTACCCCAAGTGTTTATTAACTCATTTGATTTCCAAGAGAGCCTTGTGAGGTTAAGTGTTATTATTATTCTCATTTTACAGATGAGGAAACTGAGGCACAAACAGAACTAATACACCCAGGGTCACACAGCTAGGAACTGGGGCTGAGACTTCCATCCAGGCAGCCTGCTCCGAATCTTATGTCCTTAACTCCACACCTCACTCCTACCCCTCCAGCCCAGTCAATGCACACCTGTTTACAGTCTCTCAGGGAGACAGCAGTCTGGGAGAATGATAGTGTGCTCAAATACTTGACATTCAGACGTGAGAATCATCCGATTTGATAGTCCACAGCTCTCCAGCATCAGGAATAAGTATCCATTCAATTAAAGCTCTGCCCGGTATTCAGGCTCAGAACCAGCAGAGCTGGAAGGATCCCTTGATGTGGAAGAAGTACATCTTAGCCTCTTCTCTTAGAACCCGGTTTTCACTGAATACACAGACGCCCAGAAGGCAGACCTTTCTTAGTACTTCTCGTATCTACGTATGACCCGTGTGCTGTAGTACTAGCCAATGAGATGTAATCAGAGGACTGTACCAGACTTCTAGGAAAGCTCCCTAAAACGATGAGGATATGCCTTCCTTCTGCCTCTTTTGCCCTTTCAGTTGCCTGGGAATGTGATGGCTGGAGCGTCTTCACCATCTTGGCCCATGAGGTAGCAATGAGAATAAAAGTCCGTAAGTACTGGGTTGGTTAAGCAGAAGGATTCCTG